GTAGAGATTAAGCGATTGCAGCTTGCTAGAGAGCTTGGCTTAGTTGATAAAGATGTTGCTGTGCCAATGAGCATCTTTTGGCAAATACCCCAATATTTCTTGTTGGGGGCTGCAGAGGTCTTTACATATATTGGACAGCTTGAGTTCTTCTATGATCAATCTCCAGATGCCATGCGGAGTCTATGCAGTGCGTTGTCACTTCTAACTTATTGTTTAGGGAATTACCTGAGCTCTTTGATTCTGACGCTGGTTACTTATTTTACGACATTGGGAGGAAAGACAGGTTGGATCCCGGATAACCTGAATGAGGGTCATCTTGACTATTTCTTCTGGCTTTTAGCTGGTCTCAGCTTCCTGAACTTGCTGGTCTATGTTTTCTGTGCTAAGAAGTACAAGCAGAAGAAGGCTTCTTAATTTTTTTTTTAATACAGTTGCAAGGCAGTCAATCGTTGAAATGAAATTCCCTGCAATGTACATAATTACCACATATTTGATGAAACTATATAATATGTATCATATTCGATGAGTTGCATATTTGATGATAATAAGATGGGCTATTATATATATATATATATATACACATATTTTGTTGGGTATTTATGGTCAGTGTTTTTGTGCTGCCTCTTTCAGATACCAGGTGCTGGGTCTAGAAACCTTAACTAGGGAACCTGTGAGCTGTTGTTTCCCTTCCCGTCCTGGATTCAATTTTGTTCCTACTTTATTTTGCCGTAGCGTTTGTCATCCATATCGTTGCTTGCGTTACCCTGTTTGTTTCGTTAATTTGAGTTTTATTAGGTGCTTTTTTATAATCAGTTAAAACCTCAATTTGGTCTTTCTATTTTGGTGAAGACTGTTTTTAGTCTTCCTACTTAAAAAAACTCTTTTTTATGCTAAAGTTTGAAATTTAGCATTGTTTTACTTTCTATTAAATATTGATGTTAGATAATGAAAATTTCAAATGAGAGGAACCATAAATGGTTTTTTTTTTTTTTTTCAAAGTAGAGGAATCAAATTAGGATTATTTTAGCTTTTTTTTTGGTGCTTCTACTTTGAAATTTCTATAATCTATATATCATATATGTAAAACTTAATGAATAGACTAACGAAAACCATGATTTCAAACTTTAGGGATCAAAATAGGGTTTTTCTAAGTAGAAGAACTAAAAAGGAAATTTTTATCAAAGTAGAAGGACCAAAATAGAGATTTAACCTTGATAATTTGATGGGATATTTAAAGTTAGGGCTGATTTTTAATTTAAATTTGACTAATTAAAATTGAAGGACCTAAAACTTACAATTTCTCACCCTAGCAGCATTAATCACGATTAAAAGTACACCAATGACCCTAACCTCTTGGTCAAGGGTTTAAGCTGCAATTGCAGCATTGTTATTACTATTCTTTCCTATGCTCCAAATTCCCACCGTTCATATATAAAAAACAAAAAATTACAATTACTCATTTTTGGTTGCCACGAACGCTGCACACAAACATTGGTTGAAATGGCCCTTAGCTAAAGGGAATATTTCCACAGGTTGGGAAATTTAGGGGCTTATCTGTTTAGAAAGGTAGTTTGAGAGTTTATGAGGTAATTTGGGGAAAGTTCAAGAGTTTAACTATTCCATCTTTCTAAAATTATTGTCGTTTTTAATAAAAGAAAATAATAGTTGTTTTTCTTTTATTCTTCTCATAAATTAATGATTTAGAAATAATATTTATATTTATTTATAATATCTTTAAAGAGGACTTAAGAGATAAAGATAAACTTTTTGTGATAGAATGATTAACTAAAGTAAATAGATAACAATAGAGTTAAAGTAAAAAATTATCTATCTTTAAAAGGAAAAAACAACAATTAATGTGGAATAAACTTAAAATTAAAAAATTATTATTATTTTAAGACAAAGAGAGTATGAGTATTGCCATTGACTTAATTACATGGTGCTTTGAATGGATAATTAAAGATTTTTTTTTCTTATTACTATGTTAGCTTGAAAATAACTATTGGTTTTTTATTTTTTTATTCAAATTAAGAATTTGAAGATAATTTATATATTTATTTATATTACCTTTTGTGGTTGCAACAAACCAATAAGTCTCTTTCAGTTTGAGTCTTTTCCTCGAATAAACCTGTAAAGTGTTGAGGTTGGTCCTCAAGGTTGGTTCTCGGGATAGACATTTCGATACTTAAATCAACAATAATTTAATATATTCTTAATAAAAAATGTAAGAGAAGCTTTAGGTTGGTTTCAATTACCTTTTGGAGATGATTCTTGGGGGTATTTATAGGTCTTAATAAGGTACCTACATGGCTTACTTAACAAGATAATCGGAATTTGACGTGTCCAATAGGACAATGATCTTGGGAATGGAGAATTAGGCGAGGGCATGCTCACCATAATTATCATGTAACTAAGAAGAACTAAATTTAAACTTTACCTCAGTTATTGAGTAATCGAGGTCAATGAGATGGAGAAAGGATTGAGCTTAACCAATACAGTATGTCCAAGATTAGTGATCTCAAACCTACACTTACACTATTCCCTTCCAAGTCATTCATTTGTGAATGGTTAAAACTGAGTGGTTGAAGGGGATGGTGAAGTGGATGTATAGCTGAAGGCGAAGTAAGAATGCATGGCACGTAGTTGTGTTATGTTGGCTGAAGCCAAGGTAAAAATGCATTACACATAGGCATGGTATTTTGGCCATAGTTGAGGTAAAAATGCATGACATGTAGTCATGGTATTTTGGTCATAGCTGAGGTGAAAGTATAAGACACGTGGTCATGTTATCATGGTCGTGGCCAAAGTAAGAATACATGACACACATGACACATAGTCATGTTCTTTTGGTAGAAGCCGAAGTGAAAAGACATGACACATAGCCATGTTAGTTTGGCCGTAGTTGAAGCAAAACTACATGACACGTAGCTATGTTATTTTGGTCGTAACTGAAGTAAAAATACTGACACATAGCCATGTTATTTTGGCTGTAATCGATGCAAAAATACATGACACGTAGCCATGTTATTTTGGC